CTGGACTTTGCTTCAGGTGTGTGTAGGTGCGTAATTCAATTAAATCTTTATTTCAGACTCAAGGTCCATATCACATACAAAATGACAAGATACACATCAATAAGCAAGCCAGGTGTTTGGTGTGTAAAAGACACTGTATCACTCACATGGACAAGTCAGGAGATGGACCTGTCCCACTATCAGCTAGGATCCCAAGGTGGCTCAGCGTTGAAGTCAAACTGTTCCCGGTATAGAGCGGCCCCTAGGCCCACTGGGTAGCGCTCATACACCTGTGCAGAGACAGGGGAGCCCTGAAGCACAAACACATGATATCAGATACAAATACATAAGAGTACACTGTACATAAAGGGAAAGACATGTATTAGGTATTTATCACAAGCAAAATCAAATGAAATGTAGTGTCATGGTTAGGCATTTTGATTATTATGTTATTACCACTATTATCTATGGTTTCACATTTGTTGTCACCGAGGTCAAAACTTCACCAGCGTAATATATAGCAACTCTCGCGACCGTTTACGTGACACCTAGTATATTATTATTAAATATTATCTATGCCAACTGTGTATAATCGGAAATAGTACACTACACATTATGTCATACTTGTCTATAAAATAAACACGCGTGTGTTGTTATGCAAATGTTGTCACACATTGAAAATTGAGATATTGTTATTATTATTAATAATGCACTGCGTCAGGAAAACAAACATGAAACGCTAAACCAGACTCTAGTCATTAACAGTGAAGCTGTCAAAGTGAAGCTGCATGGAGCACAGGAAACGCCATGGAGAGGAAACAGAGATATTCTGGGCTCAGAGAGCTGCTATTGCAAGCACGTCGAGGGAAGCTTATATTAGCATTCTGTTATAACCCTCAAACAAACCCAAATACGGACATAAAATAATTAGAAACATTTTGGGTTAACGCTCATATCGTTTGATAATATACTAATACAAATAGATCCAACATTAAGACATTTCAAGTGACACATAATCCAATGAATCGGCCTGTCATGTATGGCTCAGAAGGGAGAAAGAGCAGCCCGCCATGTTACGTCCGCCCGCTGAATCCAAGCAACTCAATCGAAAGTGTTTCGCTTTACTTACGTGAGATAACGGCCAGAATGATTCGGAAAATCGTCTTCTCTTTTTCGGCGGAATTTTCAAAGAGTAGTGGGCCCAACGATGTAAGAAAGAAAGAGGGCCGTTGTTGATGCCATATGGTAAAATGACGGACTCTGGTCGGCTGAATAGCGTCTTCTCTCTCTGTTGATGGTGGTGGAGGACTGGAGCTCAGCAGAGGAAGTGGGAAAAGGTAATCAACTGCCATGGGCGGGGCCTATCGTCAGTTCCACCATTCAGCTTTCTTCCTTTCTGTGAACATACCACCAAATAAGTATTTCCGAATATCTCACAGGCCGTGGTAAGTCTGTGATGTTTATTCTGGTTACATAAACGTAAACTTTTCCGTAGATGGCCAGTCGTCACTGTCAATCAGTCAAGACTACCGCTGCTCCAGATGCTTGTGTCGGAAAATTAAAACCAAGAGACACGTTTGTGTTTACATGTGTGTGTCACTATCCCCTTCAGCGAGTTATGTGAAGGTTTTTGGTTATAACTTGTGACGTTTTTCCCTTATTTATGTAGTTATTTTTCTTTTAATTCATCTATTTTACATTTTACAAAATTATACCTATATGGTAGGCTACTATTTGTTATTTTTTGTGTTCATAGTAATACTGCTCTTTAAAAATACTCTTGTTCAAGTTAAAGTCCCTCATTTAAGATATTACTAAAAGTAAAAAAAATACCAATCTGACAGGTATATAAAGTAGTAAAGTTAAAGTACATTTTGAATTAATGAAAATAATGGGTCCTTTCAGAGGGTTATATTATTTACAACATATATATAAATAATAATAATTTGTCAATAATGGAGATAAAGCTAAAATGAACTGCACTGTACACAATGGTGTGGCACTTTCATAATAAAGGAAAGCCAAAAACATACAAAATGTGCTTCTGCCTATAGGTGGTTGATATGTTGACCCTATTTCTTTCTGCTTTGTGGAATCTGGGGGATTAAGATTCAACAGCTTGTTGAACTTTTGGTTTTAGACCTTGAGGCAAACTTTGTCAACCAAGATAATTTAATGTTTTCTGAAATGAAGCTTGATCGGAAGTAATTAATTTTGAGAATTGTATCTTGTCAACATGGTGGTCAGGAGTTCAGTACAACACTAAAAAACTGGCACAGAAACTCAGCCTGCAGCTATCATATTAGTCGTATGACTTGTGTGTCTGTGACACTGGTGCAACACGCTGCATGGCTTCATCTGTGTGTCTGTCCTATAGCTTATATATTTGTTTTATGACAGTCACTCTGAAGGACACTGTGTTCACAAAAAGAAACATGGCCCAGAGAATCTTTCAGTCTTAACAACAAGAAAAAGTCTTATATGAATGACATACTCATATTTTAAATGCTCTCAGAGGGCTAGCCTTATATAAGTTTAGAGACCAAGTGACTACATTAAATGTATGGATTCATGCAGTTCAGTCGTGCTACTGGCCCTGAGGTACAAACGATAGGAATAGCTAATCAAATTGGTCCATACAGTTCACATTTCTGAGAAACACGATTTCAGTTAGAACTGGCTTCTAAATCTATTTGGAGCTGGGACATTCAATTCAAGGCTTGTTTGGAAAGTAATGGTGTGTAATGTTCTATAAACACAAGATAAATTGCTGTACCCACAAGTCATAGACAAATACAATTTAAAAACAAGGTGTGCAGTAGAGAAGGGATATACATTAATATATTTTTTATAAAAATCATTATTATATTCTAATAATCATTGATTGTGCCTTTTTAGATTTATATTTGTTTTTTTCTTCAGCTTTAGTTTACAGAATTATGATTGTGCAGGTAAAGTTATCAAGGTTGGTAAACATTTAAGCTTGTTTATTGTTTTAAGTGGACATGCTGTTCCTTATAATGATAAACACCAGCATTTTCAATAACGCAACACAATGAAAATACATTTAAAAATACATGTGCTTCAAGGTTCACATCGGGGTCCACGGGCATGGGACTAAATTACATTTTGTGCTTCAGTTCCGCTGAGTTCAGTTAAAAGCCTTGACTGTCATCAGGAAGGAAACTCAATTTGCCCGGAGTAAAATATATAAACAACCAGTGCATGAATAATCAATTCTATATACTTCCAGCATACCAAGAAATCCAAAATAAAACTTTTATCTATCAACAAAGAGTTCTGTCACACAACTTATTTGGAGGTGTATCCACAAGTATCAGCACATTTGTACTAATTTCTGTATACAAGACAGGTGACAAGTACCAATACATTATCAGTACACTAATTGTTAGGATCTGTCTGTGTTGGTGTTTTTCTTGTCTTTTTCTATCTTTGGGTTTCCTGTTTTATTTTGTAAAGTGTTCACCCCCGTTTCCTGCCTGTCTGCTTTCTGTCTGTTTCCCTCCCCGATTACCCGATTGTGTTCACCTGGTACCTCTGTGTTTTATCCTCCCTCCTCACCTGTCTCGTGTTTATGTGATTAGTCCTGGGTGTATTTAAGTTCTGGGTTTTCTGTCTCTCTTTGTCGGGTTGTCTTTTGTCATGACTAGTTCGTCGGTGAGTGTTCTGTTCTGTCTGTTATCACCTAGCCTTGAAATAAAGGAACTTTAATCTGCATTTGGGTCCTACCTGCTTCACACACCGTGACACTAATGCTCAAAACATTTTGTCAGTATTACATCGTTTTTAACCCTAGATTAATCAAGAAAGACTTAAGTTAATTCTAGTGTAACATGTATGGCAGTGTACTGTATTACCTTACAATAGGCCTTTTACACAATTTGGAATCGTCACAGTGGTAATTGACATTAATTTGAATTATTCATAGTTTTGGCTTGCTTCCTTTGACTTGTCTTCAGGGAATAAGGCCTATTCTCCTTTTTTAAACTCTCAAAATGTTGTTTGTGTCAGTCTAGAAATACAGTACAGCACTAGCCAGGATTGTGTTCACTGTGTTACATTATTTCTAACTCTAACAGCCTTAACTCAACAATTTGAAACATGTCGACAGTCCTGTGAGACAGTTTTTGTAAAGTACCTTTGAAAGCAGCTGTACCAGTCCTCTCCGATTTGAATGTTTGGTTTTCGTTCTTCAAATGCAGCATTCCAAATCCTACATTGTTTTACCATGTCCTTTCAGTATAGGCTACTGCAGATGCCATTACAAAGTATGTAGTTACTGTTGCATGCAGTATGAAAAACACTTGAACATTCTCAGTCATAACACTGAGCTTTGACCTTCGACCATTTTGCTAATACAGTATATCCCCTGTGCAAACAATTGTTGATCATATTAGTCAGAAAAGCATGTTGTCTTCTATACTACGCGACATCACGCTGGTATATTTGGTAAACTGCATTTGATTGAGGCTACTGTGGATTGAGACATACACCATTTGTTCCCCTGTGTTACTAAACAGTAAAGTAATATGAGCATTGGAGAGCACAGTTTGATTCACTGTCACCCAAAGGCTGTGATTCCTATGTTCAGTCGTTACACATGACCAGAAGAGGGCGACATTGAGCGGTATTTGCTGACTGAGCTGTCAAAACAAACACTTCCTTCAAGGACTGTCGGAAATAGTTATAATGCTGCTATAGGAAAACAAAACGGAGCAGCTGATATGGACCTTTTTTTTTACAGATTACTGCGCATCTTGCTTTCCAGAATTGCTGATTTGTGTTGCATTCCAGGAAACTATGCGGTCTTGTAGGTTGCACTCAACATATTGGTAATATTCCTACTTTATATATACTGCAGCTATATTTTTTAAATGTACACATTGTATGTTTGTTGAATGATTATGTAAAAAGTAAAAATGCCTTTAAATGCCTTCCAACCGCTCAATCGTTACTATCTCCGACTTTATTTTCAGACACTGAATGTCACAAAGACTTGTCGGTCACGTGAAGGCGCAGCAGCTTTTGCGCATGCGCAGAACAACCGTCCTGATCAGCTGACTGTGAGATGCTGTGTTGAAGCACATTTGAGTCTTAAAGCTGTTATTTTCTGTGGTGCGTATGGAAAGCTGTGACTCTTTAACTGAATTACACCGTGTGGACAAAACGCTGAAGCCATTAATCACATCGGTAAGTACGAAAATACACCGAATAATGACGTCGTGACAGCGTGAGACTGCGATGCAAACAAGCAAGCTAACAGTGCATTCACCCATGTAGTTTGGTATATTTTGCTCATTGAATCAGTCATTTGAAGGTCGAATGATTAAAGAGTCCAAGCTAAATACCAACAGTTCTCAGTGGTTTGTTTTTCATGGTGTTTAGGGTCTGTGTTGAGCATGTCCTCTGCAACACACACACTGATCATATGACAGTAAATCAGCAGACCTGTCTGTCTCTACTGAGCTGTACTGATGCAATCAACCAGTGTGTGTGCAGTTTCCGTATAACTATCATAGGAACATAAATGTGAGGAAGGTCATGAATCAAAAGCATAATGGAAGGCAAAAGAGGAACCAAGCTTCTTTAAAAAAAAAAAAAAATGACGTGGAGGAAGACTTCAGATATGGAAATTGTTCATGCAACCAAGGGTACAAATAACATCAAATAAAGGGTTACAATTCAAAGTCATGCTTTTAAAATCAAAAGAGCTATACAATATTATGTAGGCTCCAAAGTTCTCTGCTTTCCTTTTTGACAGGAGAAAATATCTGTTTCCCATAATTTTGACTTGCCTAGGTCTTGTTTATGACATTTATAATCACACCATGTGATATTTCATTATTAAAGATATACAGTGCAATAAATTAAACATCTTTGATTTACGTGTTGTTAGTTTTACATTATCAAGTTTGCTGATATGATGATCACTCTTTACTTTTTTTATCATTGTCTAAAGTAAATATTACGGGCGCATGTTTGTGCCCATAATCATTTGGCGGCTAGTAGTGGCATGTATAATATTTTGTTGTGATTTTGTAATACTTGTTGACAGTCAGTGGGGAAACTTTTCACTGACAAAACAATAATGCTTGAAAAATCAAAGTACTTAATGATGCAAAAGATTATTGAAACCAGACAACGGGACTCTTTCTCTTCCTTTATCCTCAGTGAATCTTTACATCAAACTCCCAGTAGACCAACCTTCTACCAGCAGCTATGACTGAATTCTGGTTGATCTCTGCTCCGGGGGAGAAGACGTGCCAGCAGACCTGGGACAAGCTGATGGTGGCCACCACACGCACCAACAACCTCTCCGTTAACAACAAGTTCAACATCCCTGATCTCAAGGTAAAACACAGCAGACATGTGCAATCCTCTCCACAGGGAATCAGCACACAATACGTTTTGTAGTGTTTGTGTTAATATTTGTGTGTATTTTGTCTCTAACAGGTGGGAACTCTAGATGTCTTAGTGGGCCTGTCAGATGAGCTGGCTAAACTAGACACTTTTGTGGAAAGGTAAACTTTTACTAGTTTCTTTCTTTCTTGTTGTTTTTCAAATGCAGTTTTTGTTAAAAAAAAAATGCTGAAGCAGTTAGGCTTAAGAAGATATTTGGACATTCAGGAGAATACAATATGGATGAAAGAAAACATTCAGAATGTACCTTTTATTTCAATATAAAAAAATAAAATAAATTGTCAATATGCAGTTTTGAAATCTGATGGTAGATGTTTATTCAAATATAGCCTGTATTGCTTCTTTCCACTAAAACTGCATGTTTGGCTTTCAGAGAAAACGAAGTTAAATGTCACATTTAGTCCAGTTCTGCCTGTAGTTTTTCTCCTGTCTTTAATTAGGACCTCTTGTGTTGGTGTGTAACTCTTGTCCTCTCCCATGTGTTATGTTGCAGTGTGGTGAGGAAGGTCGCTCAGTACATGGCCGATGTCCTGGAGGACAGCCGCGACAAAGTCCAGGAAAATCTGCTTGCTAATGGAGGTAATGCCTGTGAACGTAATCATTAGACTGGTGCACTCCTCAAATGAAAGTAAGCAGTGAAATACATTGCTAGTAAACTTTTTTTAGCTATATAATGTCACTAGCGAAAAAATAACCTGGCATGAATTTCAGTCAACTCTTATGACATCGAACCACAGAAATGTGACACACTTGACATTCAAGGAGATAGTGCTATGCACATTAAGCAGAAAAATTCATGGACATTTATACACAGTTCTCCAACCTGTGCTTTATATTTCTAGACCTAAAACTTCCAAATACTCTCTGTAAATGAACTTAAACAAAAACAATTATAAAAATGATAACTACATTAATACAAAAATATAAATAAACAATCATTATTCGACACTAGGCCCATAGATATGAAGATGTTTTAGGCTGATGACTGTTTTCCTTCTTTCATTTCCAGTGGACCTGGTCACCTATATCACCAGATTTCAGTGGGACATGGCTAAGTATCCAATCAAACAGTCGCTGAAAAACATCTCTGAGATCATCGCCAAGGTACAAAAAAGCTACTAATTTGTAGACATAATATTTGGTTATTATTAGGGCCGGGACTTTAACGCGTTAATTAAGATTAATTAATTACACAAAAATTAACGCGTTAAAAAAATTAACGCATTTTAATCGCACTTATTTTTGCACCGCGGAACGTTTCTCACTGGATGAGTTTCAGGCGTACCGATTATACTGGAGCACCAACTAACGTTCATGACTTCAGACAACAACAAACAACAGTGAACAACAGTGGGAAATGTTGTTTTAAAAAACGGACGGATGGAAGCGTCGATAAGAGCACGGTTGTGTGCAAATTATGCAAAAAGGAATTCGCATATCACCGCAGCACATCAAGCCTCAAGTATCACCTCAATGCAAAACATATAGCAGCTAGCGTGGAAGCTAGCGTGGACGGTTAGCCTCTTTTATCGCGTTCACACCAAAAAGAGCCGGTACTAAAATTAGTTCATGAGAACCTTTTTACCCCCACGAAAGTCCCTGCTAGAGAGCAGAGAGCTGCTAGAGAGCAGGGACTTTCAAACGGCTCTCTTGTGAGAAAAGAGCTATATTTCTGATTGGCTGGGCGGATTGCAAACCACGCCCCGTAAAACTCGCAAAAAGTTTTGTGAAGCCGCCATTGTATTATCCTCGCATTAGCATTATTAGCATTAGCCCAGCGCAGAAACGCAGAGAGACTAACTTATGGCAACACAAAATAAAACATGGGAGCGGTGGAGATGAGGAGGTGTCGGCGTTCTGGCGATTTACTCGGAAGGCTTCAGTAGAAGCTGCTGGGAGTCCCAGCAGCTTCTACTGAAGCCAGTCCCCAACTCCGGGGACTTCCGGCCGGGGACTTTGGGCGGCAGTATACGCCGTGAAGTGGTTTGCGGCCTGCCAGTAAACCCAAAGCAGAAGAAGAAGAAGTGACGTCAGCGGCTTCATTTGCCTAATCCTCCCCCAGGTTCAAAGAGTTCTCATGAACTAAATTCTCATGAACCTTTGTGGGAAAAGTACTGCGGTGTGAATGTGCCTAATGGTATACTAAAATCCATGTGAAAAAAATTGCTTCTCACTGTTCTTAGGTCAAATATTTATATGTGATTAAAAATGCGATTAATTTCGATTAATTAATTACAAAGCCTCTAATTAATTAGATTAATTTTTTTAATCGAGTCCCGGCCCTAGTTATTATATTAATGGTGGTGCTTTTTTATATGTTTTATTTTTATTTTATTCAGGCCTGTGTACAACAGTATAAAGATCAAAACAAACAGCAACAAAAACCCTCATATTTATCACATATTGACATAGTTAGATTTAGATCATTCCTGTAATCTGACAAGTGTGTTATATGTTTGGAAGAGGATTTGAGCCTCACTGAAGTCATCTCTCCTCATCTTCTTCTTACTGTTCTCTAGCAAGCCTCTCAGATAGACAATGACCTGAAGGCCAGAGCTTCAGCCTACAACAACCTGAAGGGAAACCTGCAAAACCTGGAGCGGAAGAATGCGTGAGTAGTTATTAAATGTGTACAGTACTCCTGCACTATACACACTGTAATCGTATAAGCTGTAACACAAATATTTGTATGTCTTCCTGAGAAAAATGAAGATTGTCTGTTTATCTGAACTGCATGTGTGGTCCTTTAGGGGGAGCTTGTTGACCAGGAGTCTGGCCGACATAGCGAAGAAAGATGACTTTGTGCTGGACTCGGAGTACCTGATTACCATGCTGGTGGTTGTCCCAAAGTAAGTACACTTGCATCACTGTCTTTATATTCAATATGTTGTTATATTCATGTAATTAATAAATGTTTCTGACATGTTCAATAAATTGACAAAATAATAAAAAATAAATAACTGAATTCATAGTGTCAATTGAAATGGTCAATTTGTAATGCATGCAATTTCAAAATAATACAAACGCCTTTTTGTTTGAAATATCAGTATTGGTATCAACAGCTACATGTTATTTTAAACTTAGAATACATGACTGTTATCTTTCCCTCCAGGACCGGATATGGAGACTGGCAGAAGACGTATGAAAGCCTGTCAGAGATGGTGGTGCCACGCTCCACAAAGTAAGCATAACATTCAGTTTTTCTGGGACAAATGTGTGAATGGTCAACCATTAGATGAGTAAATGGCCCAGTGACGCATCTGAATTTTTAATAAATGTTATGGAGTGACACATGCTAAACAGACTGATTTTAAATTCTACTTACCTACTTACCTATAGTTGCTAATAGTGTTTCTAAAAACAGAAAAAACATTATGTGGGTGACCTGCAGAGAGCAATTGACCTTTAGCCGAAGAGGCCAGATGATTTGAGGTGGCCTTTCGGACAAACAGCTCAGTGTGGTGTGGTAACCTAGCAACCTGTATTTGAGACTTAGCACTAATGCTTGTATGCACTGCGAACGGGAAACATCTCATGTTGGAGCAGCGAGGAAATTGGCAGATGTTTTTGGGATTGTGCCTAAGAACTTTTAAATGTATGATGTGAACAGCTGCATTGAACATTGGACTGACTTAATGCTTAGGAAATGCAGACTAAATCTTATTGCAGATACTTTCAATACATTGTTAACCAGGAAACACAGTTGGGTTGTGTTTCGAGCAATAAGTGAGAAGCCAGTGAGGGATCGTCATGTCCTTGTTGCTACCTTTGGGGACAAATACTAAGAGGTAGTTAGTGACCATGTTGACAGCTTTGATGAAGGATCAGAAGCAACTAGAGAATCAAACATCCTGCATATTATGTTTTACAAAAGAAAAGTATACAACTTGACTGTTGTAGAAGAGATTCTTTGTCAATGTGATTCTCATGGTGAAATTTAGACTACATAAAATAAATAAGCACGGATCTTGATTAAAGGTCACCTATTATGCAAAATCCACTTTTTCTTGTCTGTTATACATAACCATGTGTCCCCTCTGTGTAAAGAGATGCTGAAAGTTTCAGGAAAAAATATTTGCTCACTTTTTGTCCTGATCCATTTATATAAAAACCTGTCTGAAAATGAGCTGATCAGATTTTGGCCACTTAATGATGTCATAACGATTTTTTGGCTTGTGTAACCATTAGCCAATCACCAACCAAGGTAACCCCCCCCCCCCCCCACCACCTTATAACCTGAATCTCCTCCTAGAGCACCATTGTGTTATTTTTAACCAAATATCTCACAGAGTGGCGTGGGGAGGGGCTCCTTATTTTCATCTAAAGTAAAAGACACAGAATCAGCTCTTTTGAAACAGAGGGGTTTATGGGATGCTAATGCATGATCTGTTTGGTATTTCAAGCCAATCACTTCAGAGATATGTTTGTACAGTGTTTCCCCTAGGATGGAGTCATAGCAGCGGTGCTAAGGCACGTGGGCCCAGCATAATGTGAGCGCGGAGTGCGTGGCATTTTTTTAGTGTGTGCACATGTGAATTGCGCCCCGCCAATTTGTTTCTATGTGTCTGCCAGCACAAGAAAGGCTCTTGAGGCCTAGTGCCAGGGCCGGTTCTAGCCAATTTGCTGCCCTAGGCGAGATTTTATATATAAAGAATAAATGAAAAATCTCTACAAAAGACAAATACACTACAAAAACAGAAACTTATTGAGATAGGTAATATACGTCAAAATGGCTTCAAATGTATTCAGTATTGTATGAACATGTTTCAATTGGGGGGTGGACGTCACATCCTCTAGGGGGGTCCGGAGGTATGCCCCCCCCGGGAAGATTACTTTGAACATTTTACAGTAAAATGCCTCAATCTGGTGCACTTTAAGCACACAATTACTAGAGACCTGATCTAGGGGGTACAACTCTAAAACACCCATATGAAAAAGATCGGTTTACATTTTAATAATCAAATAAGTATATGAACATAACCAATAACCTACCATAGCCAATAACACATACATGTAACTTATTTTATTTTTGTTGTTCATTCATATCTTATTTTACCTAGTTAACATTTATTTATTTATTTATTTATGCATATTTTTGTATCTCTCCAACTTTAAACGATATTTTTGGTTACTGTCTTATAGTATACATTGGAATGATTTCAAACCTGTTTTTATTTATCCTAATAATTATAAAGGAGTGCCTTGGAAATATGTGTTTACATAATTTGTGGTCAAAACGTTTGAGACCCACCGAGATAACTTAGACTAAAATTAACTTATCTAAACACTCAGAGAGTCCTTTACCTCACTGAGCCTCTCACCCTGGTTGTAGAAACATATACTTCTTATATCCGTTAGCGCAGCTAGCACCAGATTCTAATAACAACAGCGCCGGTACTGGTGCGCCCTCTCTCTCTCTCTCTCCCTCGCTCGCTCTCTCGCACTTTGGCTGTGAGCTGCAGGCACCTGATAAGCCAACATCCCCCACTTTCATCACTTACAGCGCCCATCGTACAGGGCAAATGTGTGACCGGGGTGAAAAGGGTGTTACATTTACTTAATTATGAATGTTGTTACATCAAGGCCGAAAATTAGGATGAGCGCCAACGGTCAAAAAATGTTTTTCCCCTCCCAGAACCACCAGCGCAGCGCTCCCCAGATCTGGCGCCCTAGGTGACCGCCTATGCCAAAAATCGGCCCTGCCTAGTACATACAGTGGCAATGTCTCAAGATTTAGCAAAAATACACCTTTATTGAACATACAGTAACACAAATACTACAAATCCACATAACAAACAATCAAAAATGAAAAAGGGTCACCACTTATTATTATTTTAATAGTAAAAGTAAAAAAAAGATTCTTTTCTTTTTTTTTCCGTACCTGGCTGGCGCCCCCTAGCAGCGGCGCGCATATTTCAGCAGCGGCGCTGCACCGCCAGTGTTTGTATTTAGGGGAAACACTGTTGTATATATCTGAGACCTATAATATATTGATGAAAAACAGTATAATAGGGGACCTTTAAATTACAAACTCAGCAACTGGAGCTTCCAGGTCATTCGGTTAGTTACATGAAAGTAAATAAATGAAACCACTTAAGAGGAGAATGTGGACACTTACTCATACAGAATTACATACCTAAGAATGATATGTTACACCAGGTAGAGATGAACAGTAGGGCTGGTACACACATTTGTATAAAGGGTAGTACTGTTCTCATTTTCTGTCCCAATGAGGTCTTTCTGTATGTGAAAACCTGCTGTAATGTGTCAAACATACTGTGTGTATCCAGCTCTCATGTTAATGTCTATTTTCCTCCAGGCTGCTGTTTGAAGACAACGACAGCGGCCTGTTCAGTGTCACTCTCTTCAGGAAGGCTATCGATGACTTCAAACACAAAGCCAGGGAAAACAAGTAAGTTAATTTAATTTCAGAATTTTTATTTTTGCAGTGTTAGCCATCTGATACATATATTTTTTTAATTGCAGATTATGTGTCCTTCTTTTTAGATAAACAGCAGTATGTTTGAACATATAATTGTTAAAGTAGGTGACCTATTCGTAAACAAAGGAACCGGATTGTTATGCTTAAAAAAACTCCATTCTTCTATATTTGGCACAATTTTGTCAGCTGTCATTAGTCTCTCCAATTAGCATGATAGGAGGATCACAATGTGTGTGTTTATGTATCATGTGACTGTTTGTATGTAGCCCATTGTCGTGACAGGAGTGCACTTGAGTGTTTGTGTGTGTGGGTGTGTGTGTGTGTTCGCTGACAGCTGATTACCTCTCTGCTGTGTGCCCTTATCCAGGTTTACGGTGCGTGATTTCCAGTACAATGAGGAGGAGATGAAGGCCGACAAAGAAGAGATGACACGGCTGTCCACTGACAAGAAGAAACAGTTTGTACGGCAGCTGTTTACTTAAAAAACACTAATACCAAGTGGGGAAGAAGAAAAGCCAGTTTAAGAGGGAGGGTTCTTTTATTCTTTAGATACATTTTTATTTCCCAATTACATTTTTAATTTGTCTTAAATATTGGCTGAAATCAGTCATCATGGATATAAATATATGTTCTTGTCATATGCTTTCTGGTAATATTTGACGAAATGTTTATTTTAAAACATCCAAAAATGTAATGTTCAATATCAGCTAGTTGACAGGTATTTTAACTTTTATTATAAAATATTAAAGTGCTATTTATTTCCACCCAGGGGCCTCTGGTACGATGGCTGAAAGTGAATTTCAGCGAAGCCTTCATTGCATGGATTCACATAAAAGCCCTGCGTGTGTTTGTGGAGTCTGTATTAAGGTAAGCAGGAGAACATCCAGCAGCTTTCATGAAACTGTACAATTCATTCATTCTCTCCATACTTTGGTTGTCTATCCACCCATCCCTTTTTAATGTAGGTTTTTCTTAGTAACAAACTTCTTTTGTTTCGTAGATATGGGCTGCCCGTGAACTTTCAGGCCATGCTGCTCCAGCCCAACAAGAAGAACATGAAGAAACTGAGAGAGGTGCTCAACGAACTGTACAAACACCTGGACAGCAGCGCCGCCATCATCGATGTGAGTCTCCTTCACACACTCTGTAACAATAAACATTGGTGAACATCATATTATAATGATGAACAAGTTATGAGTATGGGCTACACAATACTAACCTACAGTACACGATCACTACTTTAAGAGAAATATTATTTAACCATTTCACAATATAATAATTGTATTGTTATATTATATATTCAGCATTTAGTACTTCATTTAGTCCATATTGTTACCATAATATTACTATACAGTTTTTCCTTGTTGCTATCTTTGAATTTGTTTCCCAATTATTATGCTTAGTAAATGTCAGTCCAACACTGTATTAACCCAGGTATACCCATTGTTAATGCCAAGCTATTACCTGCTTATTATTTTGGTAATTATGTGATTTCACATGATTATTACCTTTTTTTAAGTATTACCCTAGTATTACAATGTTAATACCAAGCTGTAATGTAAAGTACTTCAAACAAAAACCCTGAACAATCAGTTAATAAACGAAAATGAAAAATGTATTGAAATATAAAAACAAAGAAGAATGAAGTGTGTGTAACTCTTGGTTCTCTGCTGTGCCTGCAGGCTGTCATGGACATCCCCGGGCTGAACCTGAGTCAGCAGGAGTACTACCCCTACGTTTACTACAAGCTCGACTGCAACCTGCTGGACTTCAAAGTCTAGAAAGATTTCCATCATCATCTCATTTTCTGTGCAGTTTGATGTGACATGTGCCCCAAGCTTTAATTTATTTCCACCTGGTTTTTCCTGTTTTTATTTTTCTTTCCTTTTGTCTTGCCCTTCTATGTTCCTCTCTCATGCTGCTGTTACATTCCTGGGTCTATATTGAATATGTTGTTGAACTGTTGTTCTAAAATACTGGACAAATGTGGACCTTTTATGATCTTTGGTATTTCCCTTTCTACCTAGCTGTAAAAGGGCAATGCTCCCAAGACATGGATGACATTCCCTGTCAAAGGACATTAAATGATGGTTTGTTTTTTCCCCCGTCAACCCACTTCATGCAAAGCATCAAAAACTATACATGTGGGGAAAATGCAGAGAAAAATAAATGTATGTTAACTATAGTATTTATTTTAAGCCTCTAAAATCAGTAAATAGGTTTTTGTTTGCTCGGTTTTTTGGAAGTGATGTGTTTTTAGCTCCATGTATGTTTACAAGTAGATGTTGACCATTGTTTCACCCCAAAGCTATAATCCTTTCAAAATACTGAGACGTATCATCCTACAGTATAATGAAGCAATATGTTTGCTGATTTGCTATTAAGCAGTTTGAGAAAATAATGATCAATCTATGTGCAAATACTGTATTGTCCTTATCAATGAAAAGTACAACACATATTTAAAATCGATGTGAAAAATAAATACTTTATGTGATGACTTTGGCATACTGTCCTTTAATGATATTAATAATAATACACAGAATTGTGCTGATTTAAAGGTCTCATGTCATGGCCATTTCTACTGATCATAATTCCATTGTTGAGGTATACTAAAATAGATTTATATTGTGCAATTTTCCAAACTCACATTGGTTTCTCATACAGCATCTTTGTATAGTATATGTATTCACTCTCTGACCTAAACGGCTTGTTGGAGCTCCTGCCCCCCCCCCTCCCTATGAGCCCAGTGGCCGTCGAGACAGCGAGACACCGCGAAACCAGCCCGAGCACACACACACCCGCAGCCTGGCTGGGAGTTTGTGTGTGTGTGCTCACACAGACTCACAGCCTCGCCGCGTCCCGCCATCTCAGGCGGACAAATCGGCGGAGCTGCAGCTGAGAAAAGATTGAGTGTGTGTGTGAGGAAGTCGCGGATTGGTCCATTTGGACCAATTGACAGACTTAACGTAATGGCTCCGCGGACGTTACGTCACGTCACTATACCCAAATACGCCACTGTACCCAGGAAGAAATAGAGAAATCTCCAACGAGGCGTTCTGGGGCAGCATAGACAGGTATTTTCTGTGTTAGAGTTTTACTCGCTACAGGGTGCACTTTGAGGGTTTGTGACTCTGCAGACCGTTTACATGCATAAAAAGCTACATAACATAACACACAAGGAGACGGCCGGGTAATAACCAGAAAAGCATGACATGGGACCTTTAACTTGATTCACATAATTATAATTTAACAAAAGCTTCCATTATAATTTAAGACGTTGACCAGTACAGTTTGACTGTTTTATAACAATTTTTTGCTTTAAGAGTTTATAAGATTAGAGTAGGCCTATACCTCTTCAAATTCACATACACGTGATGTGATGTTGTTGTCCACATGCATTATAGGTGTTCACAATGTTTATTCAAATCAGTACGTTTACAATAAATAAAATGGTATATTTATAGCCTATATAGTCTTTTATTTGGGTCATGATGATTAGTACAAGTGCATATTTGCATGATGATGATGATGACATGAGCCGGAGTTGATATCCCTCTCGGCCAATCAGAGGTCAGAGAGGATGCAGTTGGATGACGCAGATAGCTGTGTGTATGTGTGTGCGTGTTAACGCTGTCAGCTGCTGTCGGTGGAGAGCAGCACCAACCAACAGCGGCTCAAACAGACCGACAATGGAGACGGAAACACGGATGGAGCTGCAGTAGAGATCCGGGGAGGATGCTGCGGCTGCTGTGAGTGTTTAGTCCGCGTCAGCTGCACCTGCCGTGGATGATTTTCCCAGATGGGTTGTGGGGGGAGTCGGGCGGACGCTATCATCGAGCCCAGGTACCATGAGAGCTGGACCAGAGAAACGGAATCGACGTGGCTTACCAACACGGACGTAGAGACCTCTCTAGCAGTGGCAAACGGTAAGAGCCTCCGCCTCCGTTTTATCTGTTTTAACTGCAACATCCATGATTGCATGAAGGCCCAACAGCCATATTTCATTTAATTTCAAACCTTTATTTAACCAGGTGAATCAAGGGAGACCTGCAGCAAATAAAATACATCTGTATGAACCAATCATAACACAACTGACATAGCAGTTTTCCAGAACAAGAATGTGGTTGTTTCACATGATAAACATGTAACTGTTGTCCAAAGGTAAAGCCCTGGAGGCCAGTCTGAGGGAGAAAAGGATGGTGAACACAGGCACCCAGTGTGGGAAGCAGGCCCTCACATCCACCGGCTCCAACCACCAGAGGAGACCCAGACGCTCCCTGAGTGATGTAGGTGTCACTGGTAGCAGGTATTGGCAATACATATGAACACCAACAGCCTCTGTGCTGGCACGTCACAGGATGTGAAGCAGCATGACCACTATTTCTTCTGAAATTATTTGCAGTATTATGATGTCTTTCTGTTAGGCTGCTGCAGTATAATCAACTTAACGAGGAATCTGACTCCAGTTGTGTGTTTTCAACATATTTATACCATGTAGGCATATGCACAATGAATATTTTCACCAGAGTTTTCCAATTCACTTTCCTTGTGAAATATTCAAGTTGACTGAAGCAGAAAACGTGAAGCTTTAAGGAAGGAAGACCCATTATTGTCATGTTTGTGTTTGTAGTGTATTGTTGTGTGGTGTGTTTTATCATTAATATCAATGCCAAGCACAACATTCCTTTTACTGCAAATCTGATAAATATATAGTACACCGAAACGTTGACTTTAATTAAATGTATTATGTCAACAGATTACACATATACACATAACTGTATTAGGTTAGTTGAAAGCAATACTATTAAGTTTAAATACAAAATATTAGGTTCAACTTAATATTATAGCTTTCAACTAACCTAATACAGTTATGTGACATTTGTTCACATAATACATGTTATTAAAGTCAACGTTTCAGTTTTTTCAGTGTAGATGGAATATGAAGGCAGGCGGTAGATATATGTCTTGTGACCCGAGATGATTGCAAGATGGACTCTATGATATATAAAAATAAGTTTGCTGAGGCAATAGACATACACAACCAGAACCTTGCAGTATAGTGTCACTGTTGGGTTAGTGAAGTTAATTGTGAGACTGTGTAATAAGTTGCTCGACAGAGGTGTAAATTAAAAACAAAAATCTGAAAGCAAGAAGACAATTAGTAAATGCATTTGCATCTCTTTATAGATGAAATGTAAGGTTTTGATGCTTTTCCTTTTTTGTATATGTCGGTAGAGTGAATATATTTGGGTTTTGATTTGTTCGAAAATATGGTATATGGTATCAGTCTGTTGGTGCTTTGAGAAATTGTTATTTAAGAAAAACGACATGTCACCATTGCTAATATTTAATAGAGAAACAAGTGATATAGCAAATAAATAGCAAATCTGAAAGTTGTGGACCACAAAAGGTTCTATGTGTAATTATGGATTCATATTATATTTTTCGAAATATCTATGTTCCAGTAGCTTTTGGTCATTATTTTGTAGCTGCACAAACAGTGAACGTTGAGAATGATAAGTTGTCCAACCATGTGTTTGCCTAATCTTTTTATTGTGGGATTTAAACCACAAAAGAATGCTGCTAGCTGCTCTTAATGCATGTTATGAATTCATTCTGATCATACAAACTGTATTTAACTTTTCAAAAGATCTGAAAAATGAATTCCTCTGACCTACCAAATGGCATTTTCAGCTGCACAGAAACGTAGATTGTTGTGTTTTATTTATTTAACCTTCCACTTACTGTGTGGGCAAAGCTGCAGTGACTCAGGTCTCAGCAGGCCTGTTGCCGACTCACTCTCTGTCTAGCGCAGTGACATTAAATTGACGTGACATTCAAACTCTCACATCTTTTTGCAGCAAACCACCCGTGACACCAAAAGGAGGGCATCAAAAGAAGCCGGTGCGCTGTGTAAGGATGGGCAGCCCGTCAGTATCAACACTGGTGGAGAGGCTGCACCTGGGGACGTGTGTGATGAAAGATGAAGAAAAGCCAAGACTCTGCGAAGAGGAAGATGGCCGGATCTATGAAAAGTTCACCAGAAGACGGGATGGTGATTTACACAAGTGTGTGGATGATCTTTGCTAGGGACTTGGTTCTTTACAACACAAGCACCTGCATAATGTCTCAATCCAAAGATCTCGGGATGCTGCATCTTTGTTGTGCCATTGCAAATGCATGCGTGAAGTGAAGCAAGAGAGTGCATCGCAAACAGCGTTAACGCTCTCCACCAGGCTTTTCTCCCATGCTTATGGTGCCGGTCATGGAATGGGTCACTGTGTTAAGCCACTTTTAAAGAAAACAAGAACAGACCGTACCGTATGCACATGATAATCACAATCTGCACATCATATGTTTTCTGTGTGTGTGGGGCCTTCCTTAAGAATTATGCTTCAGTTCTTTGTGCAAGTATATTCCTTTTGTTGTGACTGAAAAAACAATGATGATGCTGTTAAACTGTAAATGCTGTAAAGGATTTTCATTTAAATGACCCTGAAGTGCTGTTTAGAAACTCGGATTTGGAGGTTTGACACTTGAAGGCTGAAGACTGTCTTTTCCAGCCTTTGCAAGATAAAAAAACAAACACCCGCATGTGCCTACAATTCATATTTATCTGAACTGCTCCTGTTTTCACTTTGAGAGTTTGTTTTATTCAGTAGTATGTGTTCTCTTACATCTTATTTTATGTTAGGATGTTAAAGTTTATAAGAGACCATTATTATGGATCGTAATGATGAGCGTTTATGTGGCTTATACACTGATCTGCATGTTTAAATCAATCTCAAATGCATTCAGCAATGGTCAGGAGAACATCGGGAGTTGAAAGAGAGAGTAATGGCCAGCAGATGGCGTTGTTGACCAGTCGGGGTCTCTGAGAAATCCCCTGTCTTAACATTTTACTGCTGCTTGTCAAAAGTTTTTGATGATTCACTGAGATGATAATGTTGAAATGTGTACAGGTCAACTTTTGTGAGTGAAATACCATTGAAACACTACCATATTTTTCTTCTTTAAATTAAAATGGTCAGCTACTTAATTTGTGAAATCCAAAAAAACAAGTGAGATGTGCAGTCATTTCTACTTAGCTTCTGGTGTTTACTCTCAGAATGAACTATTATTCTGTTTAAATAGTTGTTAGTAAAATATTAATCATTTGAAATAGATTAGGTCTATAAATTACAAGTGAGTATTAGTCTATGTAAGATCCGAATGATAATATGAAACAATAAGATAAATAGTAATGTTCATTAAACTGGCATAATATCTATAATAATCAGAATATTGGAGCTACATAAAGAAGGAGATATAGCTTTGGTGAATAAATAATAATAATATTACATTTCATTTGGAGGCGCCTTTCATGAAACTCAAAGACACCTTATATTGCATAAAATAAATGCTCTAAAATGTAAAAACATGACGGAAACATAAGCAGGACTAATATAAGAATAGACTTTCTTCATAAATCAGACATGTATGGTGGTTAGGCTGGACTTCAGATGAGGAGGATTAAAACACGTGTAGCTATAAGGCAGGCCAGATGTGTAAATGTGGAAGCAAAAACATCTACAAGTAATTTAAGAATGGCATTTATCTATCTTGCAAAAAAAAAAATAGTTTGCACCTGATGTGCTATTTAACCATTCAATTCAATGTGTCCTCTAACCAGTGGTGTTACGTAACTAAGAACAATTTTGAGCTACTTTACATCAGTCTTTCCATTTTATATTACTTTGTACTTCTACTCCATAACAATTAATAGGTTAATATTGTACTTTTACTCCACTACATATATGTAGTACATTTAGTTACTTAGCAGATATAGAAAACAAATGTATGAACACTATGATCACTTAAAGGTGGGGTAGGTAAGTTTGAGAAACCGGCTCGAGATACACTTTTTGTTATATTCCATGGAATGCTCTTAACATCCCGATAGCAATGAATATCTTAAGTGCTTTGACAAAAAATCCATTAAAAAATTCATATGTGGAAGCTGTAGTACTGTAAAAAGCACGACCAATCATTTTAGCCGGACCGGCTAAAATAACTGGATGGCCAACCTGCCTGTCAGTCTTCCTCTGTGCACAAATTTATCTCGTGCCCTCGTTGGTCATGTGCGCGTTCGTGTGTGTTGGAAGAGGGGCTCTGTAAGGAAGTGGCATATTTTTTTCCGGTTGTGTATTTTCAAATTCAAGCACACTCGAGCTGGTTTCTCCAAAATGACCTACCCCACCTTTAAATAAGACTTATTTATTAAATTATAGTCACATGCTACCCAGCAGAGAGGGGACCACCATAGAATTACACATATGATGTTTGTCAATTTAAAAGATAATTTTGCAAGTCAAAAAAGTTTGTAGTCTTTAGTTGCGTATTTTTCATAGTCTTATATTTCAACAGTTTTACGACAAACTGTGACTTTTTTGACATGGAATTAATTTTTTTAAATTGACAAACATCATGTGTAATTCGTGGCACAATTAAAACGGGATCAAAAGATACGTTTTCTCTCTCCATTGACTTCAATACATACTTTTTCCGAAATAAGGTCCCATGGAGGTCCCCGGAAGGGGAGGGACTTCGCCTCTATTAAAATGAACACACCTGATACCGGAAATTGTGTTAGCCTAAAAAAATATCGATTTCCGCCCGCCACGAGTCCTGCGCAGTTAGCCGGCAGGCACTGAGACCACGCGGAACGTGCTGTCGGCTCGCTGTGGTGAACCGTCCGTTGGTGCTCTTCGTTCACACGGGAGCGTAAAACAGCTGACTAACGTCTCACTGCGTAGCTCAGCGACTCACTAATATTAATTCATATTTCCCTTTCGGATTTTTCCCCTCAAACGTTTGCGGTTATAATGAGGTGAGGATGGCTAAGCGACCGGGGACCGACGACGGGATGTTGCCTTCGCCGACCGCTCTCCGGGACATCGCAGCCGGGGACGTGAACATGGAATGCGGCGACGGAGAGGCAGAGGTCTCCCTGGAAGAGATCCTGAAGCTGTACAGCCAGCCGATAAACGAGGAGCAGGCATGGGCAGTGTTTTATCAGTGTGGTCGGACTTTAGCGCAGAAACATCGGAGGAAAAGCTCCAAGTCTACCGGGGCTTCACCCGTCTCCTATCCGAGGAAGATCGAGGGACCCGGGGATGTGAGGATCGCCAGAGACGGGACTGTGAAACTGCGCTTTGAAGCCAGCACAGGTAAACGAACCGAGAGCAGGTGTTACTCTTGTCTGGTTTGAGCTATTGCCATCTCAACCGGCTGCTATCAATGAAGCCTTTTTTCTTCACACCCCTAGCAGGCCAGAGGATCAGAGCATCCTTATAAAGAGGCCATATTGTTGTGGCTGTCCGCTTCCAGCCATGTGGTGAAATGTTTACGGACAGCACGATGCGGTTATTAAAAATACATCACATATCACCGCATAGCTGCTGGGGACCATGAAGACAAAGGGAGCTGTTTTGTCAATAATTGACGGACAGTGTTTGTTCTCGGAACATAATCCAATATTTTCATTTAAATGCATGTTTACTCGGGTGTGTTGCAGTGCTGGCTCGGGATGGCTGCTTGGTTGGGTTTGTTGCTCCAGCAGCGGTCGGTTAGCTACAGTAAACAATGAGCCATGTGATGGATTCAAACTGCAAAGCACCTTGGGCTCAGTCCAGAGCCAAGCAGTATAGCCAGCATTTAGGCTACAGTGAAACAGCTGGCAAAAATCCAAACACAAATAACTCATATTACTGCCAACAGCCCCATAATATGTTATTGCGGACGGATGGCTACAATCACAGATAAGGGGGGAGGCGAGCAGGTGCTTTTTGTGGCCTGCAATCACCTGAGGGAGATTTGTTGTATGGGGGTAACCATGCATATGGGCTCCATTTAATTGTGATCAATGAGTTTTGAGCTCCGGCTTTAAATTATAAACATTTAAAACTATAAGTCCATTGACAGAAACCTTTCAAGCAACATTGCCATCATTTCAGCTGCCAGCTCTACAATGCTTGCATTTCAATTAATTTCAATGTAGCCTTAATATCCCAGGAGGGCACATCTGGTGCAGCATAAACAGAAAACATACTCTATACAGCCAACAACAAAATCAATATCACCAACAAAAAACATACTAAACATTATGGCAAAAAAGTGCAATGACCAACCATAGCTTGTGGGTTTTTATGATGGTAGGATGAGAACTTTTTAGTTTTGTACCATTTGTTAACCAAAAAAGCTCTATGAAGACTATCTTCTATTATTATCTATACAACTCAGTTGTAGCCCTATTGTACCTGGCAGCAGGCTATACCTGTCCGACCTCTTGGGTAATTGTTATATGATTCATGATATCTGAGGGAATTATCATTCTCACCACATTATTTTTGTTTTCATTAAAAAAAAAATTAAATGATCAAAGACCACCTGGTAACTTATTAAAGTGGCCTCCAGCAGGAATATCTTAGTTCACCACTCCAGATGTACACAGCGCGTCAAAGCCCTTTAACTGCATTCCATTAATATGTGAGAGATAGCCGGGTGTGGGAGGAGGTGTGGCTGTCAATAAAGCTGAGGCACCGAGGTTATACCCCATCTCTCCTGGGAACTTATTAGCCACCTTTCTTCTTATTTCCCCCTCCCCTGTGGAAACCCCCCCCTTACAATCCCTGTCTTTGGCTAACCTCTCAAACCTGCTCTCCCTCCTCTTAGCTGCTGTTTACACAAGAACGCAAACGGTTGTATCCGCTACTTTTGTCTTTGTATAGCCCGTTCGTTCACACGAGGCCGTAACGGAAGCGCGGAAACAGACCCCGCAAACGATAAAGGGTCCCAAGGTGGATAGATCTGCAAACGGAACGCTCTGGGGGGCCAAACGGCTCAGTGTGTACCCCCTATACCAGGGGTCTGCAACCTTTTTGACCAAAAGAGCCATTTTGCTCCTTTTTCCAAAACATTTTTTTGTCTGGAGCCGCAAAACATATTTCATAGTTTTTTATTGTTATATCAGACAAAAACTACATTTTTTTGCATTTATTAGGCTATTTATTACATGATATAAAACTGTTAACCTCTAATAAGAAACAAATAACTCTTATAAGGAGAATTAAAAATAATACAAAGGCCTACTTTAAAATAAATTAAACACAGCACTTGGGGAGTCCTCTGCACATTTGAAGAAAAAAAAATATTATTAAAATGGGCCCACTTTGAAATAAATAAAACATATAGCTGCACCCTAAAAAGAGTTAAAGGTAGGGTAGGTAAGAATGGAGAAACCAGCTCGAGTGCGCTAGAATTTGAAAGTAGGCCTACACAACCGGAAAAAATATGCCTCTTCCTTCAGACTTTCTTACAGAGTCCCTCCTCCAACACACACGAACGCGCACATGACCAATGAGGGCACGAGATAAATTTGTGCACAGATGGAAGGCTGACAGGCAGGTAGGCCATCCAGTTATTTTAGCCGGGCCGGCTCAGATGATTGGTCGTGCTTTTTACAGTACTACGGCTTCCAGAGATTAATTTTTGTATATATTCATTGCTATCGGGACGTTAAGAGCATTCCATGGAATATAACAAAAAGTGTTTTCTGAAATAAATGACATACCCCATTGAATTATGACTGAAGATCGTCAGCTGTCTTCCTCTCCCTTGTTGTTCCTCGATACTAAGGCTATAGCACCTTTGACAACTTCTCTCTACATATCAAACATACCGGTAAACCAGCATCGTTTGCTGTGAAAGCAGATAACTCTGTCCACACAGAATTAAATCCTGTGTTCCTCCGTTACTTTTCTTTGATTTATCCATAGTTCGCTCATCGAGCCAGGGGTCAGGTTATTCGCCTCCAAGAAAAGGCGCTCGCACGGGACCGTAGCAGGATGTGTCTCATATTTTAGTTGACCTAATTAAAACCTTTTTGTTTTTTATTTGTGTCACAGTTTCAACTCAAAATACGAGATACGAAACATTTTCAACCATGCAACAAAATATAAATAGTCCTACAAATACTTTTATTTTATTTCCTTCTTATTTTTGTCTAAGCTCAAGGGAG